GCTAATTAGACCAGATGTCCTTCTGGACGACCTTCAGGACAAAGCAAGGGCTTCGAGGGAAGCTTGGTCCTGGGTGCCTGCAGCAGCTGTAGGGAAGCTCAGGTTCCAGGTGCCGGAGGGATGCCAGTGCCAGCAGCCAGGGGAAGGAAGGCCTACTCTAGCACGAATTTTGTGCATTGGGCCTCTAGTATTCTATAATGGATTTGCCTCATTCTCTTTGGATGATTTTCCATTTCTAGATACTGTAAGCTGAGTTTCAACAGTACTCTTCTGGTTGAATATTGGTACACTTACCCAATATCCTGTTTCTCTGCACCCTTGCTTCCATTTGTAAATCTGTTAATCCAATAAGTGCAAATTATCCCATTTTGGTATTTTACTTTGCATTTCTTTGTTTTCAAGCAATATTTAACATTGCTATGATTATATGTTTATAATTTGTGTTCTATGTAAATAATGCTTCTGAACTATTTAGTTGGATAGAATTACGTTTCTTTCTCTGTGGGTTCAGTAGTATTTCTCATGCTTCTCAGTAGAGAATATTCTTAAGATTACCTTTTATGTCCCATCAGTTATGTGACTCTTGAGACTCTTGTTATAAGTGACATGAAAACAACCCAAACTTAGAATCAGTTACTCAAAAAAAAAAAATAGATCTGATTGAGGATATAAGGTGGCAGTGGAGCAGGTGGAAGTTAGCCTCACCTCCTCTCAGGAACAAACTTGAATTATAACTAAATTATAGAAAAAATCAACCTGAATAACCAACTGAAGACTAGCTGAACAGAAGTCTAAAAACCAAGGATTTACAGAAGAAGCCACATCAAAACTGGTAGGAAGGGTGGAGCTACTAAAAGGCCTGCCCTGTCCCCCCCACACACACACCTGAGGTAGCTGAGTATTTAGCAGGGATTCTCAGGTACAAAGAATTCCCCTGAGGAGTGTGGGGTCCCAGCCCCATGCCTGGCTTCCAAGCCCAGAGCATCAGTGCAAGGAAGAGGAGTCCATATATCATCAGGCTGTGAAAATGATTGGGGATTCTGTTCACAGGGAGAGAGAGGAGTCTTCTAGAAACACAGGCACCCTCTTAAAGGGCCCATTCACAAAATCTTGTTTACAGTCACTCACTCTGGGCTCTGGCAGAGGGAGGGCAGAGCAGACTAGACTTGTGTGAGGAGAGACCGAGGTGTGGCTCCAGGAAGAGCTGAAGAGACAGTGGCCAGGTTCCCTGTGATGAATCCCTCTCCCATACCATATACAGATGACCCATTCTTGGGTCAAGCACTCCCCACCATACGACATTAGCCTGGAGGAATGTAATACACCCCGCCCCCACCCCCGGGAGCTCATGCCCTGCAAGAGAAGTCAGCTGCTTGGGCTCAGGGTGTAGAGGTCCAGAGAGACTCAAGGGGTGACAGACACAGTCTACTGTGACTCTGGGAGGGGACCTTTCCTTGCATGCCTGACAGATGCAAACCCCTCCATTTGCACAGCCAAAGCTTTGTCTGTTTGGCCTGATAAAGTCTACTGGCCTCTCCTTGATGACTCCAGGAGAAAGAGTTCCCTTACTTATCACTTACTCTTAAATAATCTGTCTTAGTTTTAGGTAAATAAATGCATCCCTTTTTCTTTCTCTCCCTACCCACGAATAAAAAGACAACACCCTTCCTATGCTTGCAGCATGGTCTTACATTAACACTCTCAGAATATAGAGTTGAGTGTATTTTTTGGGAAAACAACTAAACCAACATAATTTTGGCAGACTTACAATGGCTATTACTAAATAGTTCTAGAGAACTCTCTTAGAAAGTTAAGGATTTATGTTCTAGTTAATTTATCCAGAATGTAGTCATATTCCAAATTAAGTCTTATAAAGTCCATCTCTGGAAAAAACTCAGTTGAGCATCTATTATCCTAATGCTTGCTCTTAATTTTTACAGGTCAAAGTCATACTTTCCATTTCTGTAGCATTCTAATAGATACACAGTTGCTTATTGAGAAAAGTTCCAGTCCTGACAAAATTAGACTTGAGTTAAGGATTTGACAAATATGTGCCATGTGTACGTTCTGCCTCTCTTCCTGGGTCCATGCAGAAACCCAGCACCAGCCAGCACGCTCTTTCCTCCTAAGCACAATCCCAGCTTTAGGCTCGCGCTCAGCAAGAGCTCCAGGAAGGGAAAAGAAAGCGTAAGAACTTACCTGCCACAGTTGTCCTGGAATGTGAGCTTTTTGAGGACACAGGCTGAGACTTTTTCATATTCCATCCTGCCCCTCCCCCCAAAAGACCATCTACTGGGTGCTGTGTCAAATAAGAATAATAGTCAGTTTCTTTAATTTTTTTTAAGTGTTAGCATTGGCATTTTTATTTTGACTTTGAAAGGAGAAAAAGCCAGTAAAGACATTCTAATGTAAAAAAATCCACATTTTTGTAGGATTCCCTGTCTGAAGAAAAAATTGGAACTCTTACACATTATCTCAAAAGGGTGGAGATGTGTTGCTCTGTTATAAGCAATATATTGTTAATCCATGAAATCAAATGGAAAAAACCTCTTTCCATTTTACTTTCTGTAGTCAGTTTCATTTTTCTTAAAACAGCTTATAACCGTAAGTTGCAGTTTGAATCACCCAAATGTCCAAAAAAAATAAAATAAAATAACCCCCCCCACAAACCCAAACAAAATAAAATAAACATGTTTTAGACTCATAATTCCCCCCTCACAGTTTCAACTTAAAGTTGTCCCTCTTAAAGCACCCCGATTTCTTCATGGGACCTGTTAAATGAGTCTTCTGTGGATGCCCACACCTGGCTGCAATCCTAAGTGGTACATGGACTAGTCTCATGTCAGTGCAGTTTTAATTGTTAGAGCAAATAGTATCCATTTTAATGACACCTTAATCATTTATTACAGTCAGTTTTTCTTCACAGCACACAGTCTTGGAAATAACCCACTAAGAAGTACTGTGGACTGTGGGGCTTTGGCAGGCTGGGACAGAACTTCTGAGAACATGCTGTGTGGATTTTCCAAAGAAGGCAGTCACCTGAGCGGTCCCATCTGGGAGCAGTTCATTTGGGACCTGGCTGGTGGCTTTTCCCTTAGATTTGAGGATCTCACCATCACATGGAGATGCCTACCGGTGTATAGCATAACTTGGATATTGCTCTTAATGACTGCGTCAGTTGGTAAAGAGCTGGCCCCATCAACTGCACAGGAGGGGCCTCATACAAGCAGGGTGGCTGCAGCTCTCTGCCAATAAGTGCTTAATGACTCATTTTCCTCAACAGAATTTTCATGAGACTGGAATTCAGGGAGGGTTGTCTAGAGAATGTCTGGGAGGAAGTTCACAAGCCACCGCCGCGCTGTCTGCTGGAGAAAGCCTCCCATGATAGCCACACCAGTGGACCAAAGCAAACAGCAACAGATTTCAGTAACGTTTCCTCCTGATCTTCCATAAACAGTCCCTGAAAGGTCACCCTGAAGTTTGTTTTAGTCAGGTTGAGAACATTATAAACTTCCAAAGAAGAAAACTATTAGTGGAAAAACTGAAGACACAGAAGGCTAATAACTAACTGTGTGTGTGGAACCACAGACTTTATCCATGCGAATGGCATTGAACCAGCCAGAGTACTTCAAGACACTGTTGTACCCTATGTACGCTTTCAATTCACTCACCCATTTGACTGATCTGTCATATTGAGCAATTGCTTTGCAATTAGGTGGATTTAGACAAAATGAAATTGTACATACTGTTCCCTTCTCTTTTCAAATGTTTTTGTGTTTATTTTAAAGGCTTTATAATTGCTAAATGTTCTCCTCTCTCAGAAGACATTCTGAAATGGAAGCAAAAATATCACTTTTGCAAAGCCATTTCCATTCTCCCAAAGGTCTGCTGGTAAATTATTCTTCCCGATCTTTCCATCTTTCTGGCCTGTGCATACACACCTAACCCATACTAAATTTCACCAGATGGCATTTTATTTTTTTAAAGGAAAGCAGTCGTGGGTTTAGACAGTTGAATTTTTAAACTTCTGTATTTACTGGAAGTGCATATGGTGCTATATGGACAAAGAACTTGTACTGAAAGGAAAACATTTCTGTCTGCAGTACCTCAGTGTCTTAGAGGAAGAAAAGTACAGTCACATGGTGTATTTCTCACAGAATCTTTCGTGGCTGTAATTTTCTTTCCTTGAAATTAGAGCATGTATACTGTACATACCTGAAAGTTGGTATTATTTTAATTCTTCTTTTAGTTGCAAATAGAAAGGTTATATGAAACTCAATAAATTGCCAAAGTAATTGGTGAGAGATTTCTAGAGGAAAATGAAACATAAAACTAAACTTGTAAAAAAAAAAGTTTAAAAACCTCTGTATGTCAACGTCAGCAGATGTTGGTGTAGAATTTACAAGGATGAGAAGGCTGTAAAACCTCCCTTAAGCCATTCACAGTTCATTTCAAGGCCAAGAACGCCCCCAAAATCTGTTTCTAATTTTACAGAAATCTTTTGAAATTTGGCACGGTTTTGAAAAGTCCATGGAAAGAAAAAAACCTTGTCCTAGCTTCCTCTTCCAACTCCAAAGACAGACTTGCTTCCTTTCAACGGTTTTCACAGATGCAGTGACCCACGCTCCGAAGTCAGAATTAGCTGACTTTCACAAACATCTGGAAAAATGAAGGTTAGTATATGCAAACTCAGGTGTTGCTAAAGAATGAGGGCTAGCTAGCAGAATTGAGTGTGAACAATGTTTTATATTGTTTAGAAGGTGAGGATTTGTCCATAAGTATGTACTTCCTGGAGTGGGTTGAGATTGGGAGATTATTCTAAATATGCTGTAGAAACATTTGTCTGTGTGGAGCTGGAAAAATTCCAGCAATTAGAGCCAGACCAGTGGAAGACTATCAAAAGTTTGTGTTAAGGAGAACTAAGATTTAACGGCAAACAAAATTTTGTGTTTTCTACTACTTAGCAGAAACTGGATGTATATCTAATTCATTTTTATTTTATGTAGACATGGTTAAAAATCTTATTTGGAATTGCCACCTCTGCTGTGCTTGCTTTATTGGTGATGTGCATTGCCTTACGTCCTTTGAGAGGTAAGAATTTCTCTCTGATTTTCTCTGTCAGCCTTGGAAAATGCACTAACACATGGTCATGAGTGATTGAACATTTCCAACGTGCTTATTTTCCAAAGTAAGTCTGTTATTTCCATGAAGACTTATAAGCTCACAGATATGTCCTGGTGCAACCAGAAATCATGAGGAATTTAAGGCAAGAGTAGAAAGAGATTTCCAATATTATTTCAGCAATAGAAAAACCTAGGCACTTTCTGTATCATTCCCACACCTCCCCAAATATAAACTAAATTACAAGCTTTGACAGACCTTTAGAGGCGATATTTTTGACTAACATTGCTTGAAGGGATTGCCTCATGGAAAGTAAAACTGAGTATAAATTGAAAAGTTAAAACAGAAACTATGGCTTTGTGCTTGTTTGTTTTATTATGAGTCTTTTCAAAAATTTAGAAAGGCGGTCTAGAATAGAGATCTTGAGTATAGATGTATAGAAAAACTAAAATTGTTGTTCTAGATGCAGTAGCAATGAACAATTAAATTAGAAAATAAAAAACTATTGAACAAGCATTATGTTTAGTGATAAATGAATTCTTTTAAAAGTGGTTTAGATTAACATCAACCTCCCTTTGCTGAAAGTTGGAAGATACTATGGACTGATAGGGGGTAGTTTAAATTTAAATTAAGACTCTGTCTGTACATTATCCAGCAATATTAAAGGTATTTTTCTGTAAAAGTTATTAAGAGAAGCTCAAATTCTGAACCAGGAGAAAAACACAACAATAACAGGTCTTGTGCTTTGAGGGAAAAGTATGTAGCAACAATTATTAAAAGCTTATAATAGCCAAGGTGGGGAATACCTTTGGTTAAAAGTTAACTGTCAGTAAAGGAAAATAAATGACAAATCTTTAGCTAAAGAATGTAGGAGTCCTAAATGATCCATGCTTTAAAAGTTAGAATACAAGGTTGCATTGGTGGTATAGGGGTGAGCATAGCTGCCTTCTAAAAGTTAGAATACAGAAAATATTTTGAAAAATTCAAAATGCTCATGGGATTTTCACAGAATTACAAAATGAAGAGGTTAGCCAATATGATGAAGGCATTGTGCTTGTATCTTCAGTGTTAATCTTCAATCCATTTCCTGCTCTCTGCCAGCACACAATTATTCTTAGGCTGTTGAGAGGTATTGTGTGCATCCATAGTTTTTATATTTTTTTCAAGTTAAAATTGTTTCCAGATCAGTGTTTTACCTCAGTGGCTTGGGAGCCATATTTCCCTCATGCCAGCAATTGTCAGGTGACATATTAGGTCCCATTGACCCGTTGAATGCCAATGTGTTCAGAATTAGCTCCTGATTTTAAAAGAAACCCCCAGTACTTGAAATCAACATGTTGCTTCCTCAGAAATGAATATTCTGAGGATGAAAGTGTACAGACTAACTTATGAGCCTGCTTCCATGTCCAGAGGCAAGGATGGCTTGCCTTAGCACTTTGGAATTTGAGCCATAATTTCTAATAGGAAATATACTATAGTTACACATTTATAAATAATATGTAAGTATACACCCACATAGATATTTGTGTAATCCTACATAATAAAACCCTAATATGCAAATCAACTGAATGGCAGAATGACCAGTTGCTATGATGTGCTACTCTACTTTGCAGAGTAGGCCAGGGGAAGCCCTCCTCCCTCCAGAAAGTGGTATAAACAGCCCTGATTTGAAGTGGATTCCCTGACCTCCTTCCTTCTTCCCACACCCCTCACCTCAATCATCCTTAGTCTAGAGCAGGGGTCCTCAAAGTTTTTAAACAGGGGGCCAGTTCACTGTCCCTCAGACAGTTGGAGGGCCGGATTATAGTTTAAAAAAACAAACAAACTATGAACAAATTCCTATGTGCACTGCACATATCTTATTTTGAAGTTAAAAAACAAAACGGGAACAAATACAATATTTGTATTTGCATGTGGCCCGCGGGCTGTAGTTTGAAGACACCTGGTCTAGAGCAGTGATGGCGAACCTTTTGAGCTCGGCGTGTCAGCATTTTGAAAAACCCTAACTTAACTCTGGTGCCGTGTCACATATAGAGATTTTTTGATATTTGCAACCATAGTAAAACAAAGATTTATATTTTTGATATTTATTTTATATATTTAAATGCCATTTAACAAAGAAAAATCAACCAAAAAAATGAGTTCGCGTGTCACCTCTGACACGGGTGTCATAGGTTTGCCATCACTGGGCTAGAGCTTCCAGTCCAGTTCTCACTCTCACAACTGCCCAGTGCCTCTGGGGAAGCCCTCCTCCCTCCAGAAAGTGGTATAAACAGCCCTGATTTGAAGTGGATTCCCTGACCTCCTTCCTTCTTCCCACACCCCACTCCTCAATCATCCTTAGTGAAGGAAGCTTCTAGTTGGCCTTTTCAAGCTTTCTCAGAAACTCCATTAGCTCACATTTACCTTAGATGCCCTTGTATTCTTAGCCCAGTATTATGGGCTAATGACATAAGAACAGTCTTCTTTGGAGAAAGTAAAAAAACCCACTTCAGAAACATTCATTTATTCATTTATATACTGAGGAATTAAGTCCCACTGACTACTTGCCCGCCATTGTGCCAAGTGTTGGGGAAACAGATTCAGCGGTGTAGATTTCCCTCTGAAAGTCAGGGTAAGAATCCAGAGTGGATGCATGGCCTCACCACCAACAGGAGGTCGGGGTTCCTGTTGTTCCCCACCAGGTCTAGGTCAAAGAAGAAATGACAGGGACTCTTCTGTGGAGAGAAAGGCCCAGGGAACACCAACCTCGGGATGCAAAGGGCTGTGGAGAATTTAGGCAGAATTTTATGAACAAATAGGAAAATGTGGTGGTGAAATGAGAAAAATCCATTTAGATCACTCACATAGTAATAAAAATGAGGGACAACTTTTTTTTGAAACTTTCAAAATTTCCCATTTTTATTTTCACCCAAATGGAAAACACATATGGGTTTCTACCCCTCAGTCCCAGGCTGCCCTCCTTGGCCTCAGCCTATTCCCATTAAACTGATTCCTGTTCTATTCTGCCTTGATTTACTTTCTCTCGCCTTCCCAAGCACCACCCTTCTTCCTGTGTGAAGATACAGCCAGGCTGGGAATGGAAACTGAGCTCCACACCTTCCCCTCAATTTTGTCCACCCCCAAAAGAAACACACAGGCCTTGTTTCAAGAGATTTACAGAGGTGACAATAACAAAAGCCAAAGAAACAGAAAACAAAAATTGCAAAGTGACAGAGGCTCTAGAATTTCCGAAGTAAATTCTATATGGTCTTGCTTCATGATTTGCAGTTTCTGAATTCCTGGACCTACCTTTGTGAAATTCATTTGTGAAATGAAATGTAGGAGTCATCTACTCTCTCCTTGCATTCTATTGAGCGTTGAGTTTCTCATATGGTGATGAGCAAACACTCAATAAATGCCAGCTATTATTTTTCTATAATTTCTAACATGCAGTAGCTACTTGATAAGTGGCAGCTAGAATTTCACTGTATTCTTCATCCTCATATACATATGCACACAAAGATGATGACTAGGCCCCTCTGTGCGATATATTTCAATTTCAACAATGTTCTTAATTTTGAGAGTGTGTGTGTGAGGGGTGTCTTTATCCTTGGGTATCATCCCTGTTCCTATTCCCCATCTCCTTGGATTAAAAACAACATATCTTTTTAAGAAACTTTTGTGTACATGGAACTCATAGGAGACATCACAAGTTATGACGCAAAAGAAGAAAAGAAGAGAAAAGATAAAGGGAGCTGGGGGAGGGGTGAAATGGAGAATGAAGTTGAGGGAAAGAAACAAAGGAGGGGGGTGCCTCTCAGATCACCCTGCAATCCTCCTGTCTACGTTTAAACACTTTTCTTTTTACTGTTGTTGTTTTGGGCCTGCTGTGTTTTATAAAAGTTTGTAATAGTCACCAATTTTTAAAAATCAGAGGATTTCATATAAAAATTTATATCTTTGGCTTCTCTTTAAATATTAAATCTGGCAGCAATGGGCCCATGGCCATAGTTAGCTAAGAAGCAGGTGCCTTCAGATGGGCAATGCTTTCTCCAGTTTCCCACAACTTTCTATTTAATTATGTACAAGATACCATATTCATTCATAGTATCAGCCTGAAGTTGATAAACATTGGATTTTTAACCCTTGGGCTGAAACACACACACACACACACACACACACACACACACCAAAAACATATATGATGCGTTTAAAAATAATTACTGAATATGAAAAACCTGAGATTAGTATCCCATAGTCATCTATTATCCACAATGTCCTGTCCACTGTGGCCCCTGGACACTTGGATTATTTGTCCCACAATTATTTATTAAGTACTTTCCTGTTGTCTAAGGCATGAATGACAAAGTCTCTACCATTAAGAAAGAACAGTTTGATAGTAAATAGGTAAACAAATAAATTAGCAGAATATTTCAAATTCTTAAAAGTGCTATCAAGAACAACTGGAGTGGCCCAGCCAGTGTTGCCCAGTAGTTGAACATCAACCTATAAACAGGAAGTTCGATTTATTTCAGAAGATATGTGAAATGTAGATAGAAAGCAATATTTTGTAAGAATATCATTTAGAATGTCCGTATTTTAGTCAGAAATCCATTGTTGTTATTATTATTGTTGCTATTACTATAACTTCAACAACCACTCTTTAGAATATAAGATATATGTGAGATGAAACCATCTTCACAGGAGAAGAGAATATGTATTTAAGGCTTGAGATTTTCCCAGTATCAACATTTAGAACTGTGAAACAGACTCCCTCAAACATCTTAAGAGTTTTAAGCTTATTTATTCACTGTTCTTTTGGAGGAAATATGGAGAAGTCTAAAGGGTTTAGAAAGTTCACAAACATAAAAGAGCTTTTGAGGTGAGGGTAAATAAATCAACTTTGCAGATTATATTTCTCTAATTTGCCCTTGGATTTTAAAATCACAGAAGATGAATCTTTGCAAACTTGCTTTGAGTTTTGCCAA